GCTATCATCATCATTGCCAGCAACTACCTGTTCTATGCTTGGGATGTGGTAGATGCTATAAGTGACCTTTTTCTTATGGGAACAATCTAGTGCCTCAGGAACAGATATACCCCTGACTGTTGTTCTTTGTTCCTCTAGATGTCTTTTTTTGGTTATATGTATATATGAATCTGTTGATTTATTTTGCTTAAGGAAAAAGGTCCATACAATATACAAATGGAATTTAGGAAGCCTTCTGTCCAAAAGATACACCACTGTATTCTTTCAAATTAAGTATTTATAATTAATTAATTCAAAAATCCTTCTAGAATATAATACACTAGATAAGCTATAATGAGTAAATAGGGATAAAATTTTAAAAGTTTATATTTTTTAAACTAAAATGTTTCATTACTTCTTTAGCCTTATATATAAAGTGGTTTGTCACTGACATTTTTGAGACCCCATCTTTGGATGCTGGTTCGTTTTCCACAAACAAATGAAGCCACAGTGTAATTAATGAGAGCTCATAGCAAATGGTCTCAGTGTAAACACATAAGCATGAGCATATTATCTTTTAGGCATTTAAACCAAGCATTTATAATATTTAATTTGCAATGGTATCTAAAGTATCTCCTTGAGCATCTTTTATTTTTCACATTAATTTTTCTATTATGCAGTGGGCATTTTGCTCTCCATTGTACCATTTGGCAATTGCATTTAGACTGTTGAGCTAAAAGATGTCTTCTGTTTTTATTTTATATTACACTGGAGCTTAGCTAGACAAGAAAGTTCAAAATCATCTGTAATTGGGGTTGAAGAGGATAAGATGGTATAGTTTATTCATTCTGCAGCTGAGACTGACTTTTGGAAGGCAGAGTTATGTTTGAAAGGTAGAATTGGCTGATTTGTGCTATAGTGTTAGTGTTTTATTTTTAAAATTTTTGACCTATATAATATTGCTTGTTTCACATATGCACACTGCAGGCATGTTCCTTGATATGTGTCCTAAATGCGTGTGTAGTACCTGATCAACTGAGAAAGTTTTTACATCATAAGCATCAAATGAAGTTCTGCCTTTCATATTCTTTCTTAGTAGCAATGAGAATTGAGTGCCTTTGGATTGCACTGTATTTAGCTGTTGCACTTGCTGTTAAGGGCTTATTCTCCCATATTGTAGGGCACTATCTAATTTTCATGTCCAGATGGGTGTGATTTTTTCCATTCTCATGACCAGAATAGAGAGGCCTATATTTTTTAGAAATTGATGTTGTCTAAAGGACAAGGAAGCAAAGCTTGTTTTTTATTTTTGTCATTTTCAAATGGGAGGTCCTATATGATAATTTCAGGGTGCATCGGTGACATTTTTCTCTTTTCCTTTTGGTTTCACTAGACTTGGTATTTTGGGGATTCCAACTTTCAAACAATTTAATCAGATGGATTCAAGTCTCCAATGTGGGTTGTTGAAAAAAACAATTTATTATTATTATTTTTTAAAACATACTTTGCCAGTAAGAACCAGGAAAGAGAAATAGGTTTGTTGCAGGTCTTGATTTTAATTTGTCTTAAAGGAGCAGGCTATGTGCTATACATAGAAGTTTTAAAGGCCACTGAAATCAGCCATTGGTTTTCATTGGTGTCTATTTCTCTGTCATAGAAAAATATGGCATAACCAACAAACTTCTCTTCCAACTACTCTTCAGCATAGCAGTATGTTCTTGTGGGAGCATCATCTTTTGTTGAGAGACAAAAAACTATATTTGTTTTACTAAAAATGCTCCCAATTCCTCTGATTACCTACAGTAGACAAATTAGCTCTTTAAATGGTGGGACTATAAATTCGTAAGTCCAGGGAAAATACATAAACATATTTTTGGCACAGCTATATTTTGTAGTTCTGATAATTTTTATGTAGTTTTTAAAATATATAATTCTAATCTTATATCCTTGCAATTTTGAGTCTGTCTTCTCTTTTTCTTCTTTTCTTTCCCACTTATCCAGACATGGTGGACATGTCTGTCCATATCAAGGTATGTGGAGTCTCTTCTTTGCTGTTATTTCATTTTGGTCAAATTAAGATATTAGCACAATCTAGAAGATTTAAAATTGGTAGTTTGTGGGAAACAGTGGACTTCAATCTATGAAATATCTTCTCTAAATAATGAAGTAATTTCTGGCCTTAGCTTTTAAATTTTTTTTTTAGTTGTAGATGGAAAAATATCTTTATTTATTTATTTTTATGTGGTGCTGAGGCTCAAACCCAGTACCTCACACGTGCAAGGCACGTGCTTTACCACTGAGCCACAACCCTAGCCCCCAGCTTTTATCATTCTTTGTGAATCACATGTCATTCTTTACATCATATTGTCACTTTTCCACATATTCTTCAGGGTTTCTCTTAATAGGTTAATGATTTCAGTCTATTTCTAACCATTAAGGATCAAGATTAAGTTTGTCTTCTTTTCAGAAGTATGCCCAGTGACGATATGTCCTTCATTTTCCTGTTTGGCCAACGTGGAGATCTGTTCCTTCTTTTATGTACTAATGAATCTTATTTTTTTTCTAATGAATTTTATTTTTTCTTGGGTGATAGAGTGATAACTGTATCTGAAATGTTCATTCTGTTGCATTTTGGATGTGTAAAGTTGTAAAAGATCAGAATGTCTAAGATATTTGTTTATTTGTTTGAACTGAATATTGTCCTCAGTCATGCCCACAAGTTTCTGGGGATTTGGTCTTTATTGACTCTGCCATCTTGGAAAGTAGAGAAATAGGTTAAACTAAAAATAATAATTGGAAAGGGCTCCTGTACATCTGAGCTGTCCCATGGCAGAATGATTCAGCAGTTGCAGGGGAATGTTATTCAGTGCATTATAGTTTCTAAGAGCATTTGCAATAAAGTAATCAGGCTCCCCTGGCTGGTCATGCTCTTATGCTTATTTGCATTCCTAGCTCAGGTGCTTTCTGAATGTGAGGCCTTTGGTCAAGTCCTCTTCATGCACCTCTGCCAAAACCTTCTTGTTGGGGGATGAGTGGCAAACCTAGAAGACACCTTTTCTCACTGGTCTTCGTACTCATGACTTTTGAACTCCTAGTCCTTCTCCTTCATCTTTTCTATCCCTGGGTTCATAAAACTGTTAGAGCCTTCTGTTTGGGGTTTAAGTTGAACAATTTTATAGGTAGCTTATAGAATTCTATAGGTGTCTTATATATAGGATAATGCAACATAATGGGTTAGTAAATATTTGTTTGATGAATGAATTGGAGTCTCATTTTCTGGAATATTTTCCTATCACAATGTGGGATACAGATGACTGTCTTTAATAAAATGATAAACATGATGATTATTCTTTTCTATATGTGGAACTTAGCTTTTATTCAGAAAATTGAATCCCATACACATTGGTTGAAAATGGGCCATAGTCAGGTGGATTTCTTCCCCCTTTCCCTCAGTAATATATTATAAAAATTTTCATGTGGAAAAGTTGAAAGAATTGTAGAGTAAAGATCTATGTACACACTACCTAAATTCTAAAAGTATCATTTTAAAACTTTTGTTTTATCAAATATCTATCCATCCATCACTTCATTACTTCTTTATTTATACATTTCAAGAAAGTTGCAGGTATCAGTACACATCATCCCTAAAAACTTCAGAATTAATCTGTAGTGTTTATGAATAGAATGCTTTTAGAGTATAACTATATGAAATTACATATATCACCTTACATTACTTTCCACAATTAGATTGAAAGAATAGATGAGAATGGGGAAAAGAATCAGCTTAGATCTGTATAATTCCTTATAGTTTTCAGAGAATTTTCATGTGGCTTATGTAGTTTGGTCCAATATTATTAATAATAGCATTAATAACATTTATTGAATACTAACTTTGTCCCAGGTACTTTGCTGAGTTTATCTCTAAGAAAGGTATTTCTTCATCCCACTTAATACTTTGTTATATTTATTTTTCAAATGGCTTGTTCAATTAATATATTTTTCATCCCTATGGCATGCCTTTTTATTTCACATTTGTCAGCTGCTGCTATTTTAGTTGAAGTCTGGTGTTTGATAGGCTACTAGGACAAAAAAGATTTTATGGGTGTAGTATCTTTACAAGTTGCCGTTCTGAATAATATTTGAGTATAACTTAGGAAAAGTGGCTGAAAAATTTCCTGTTTTCTCTAATCATCTCTTATTAATCAGCATCCAATTCCAGTATGTTGCATGACTTTCAAGGTGCAAAATGGGTTACATTAGAATCTGTATTTAATCGTTACTTTTCCTTAGATTATTAATTGTTAGCATTCTAGAGATAATAAAAATAACAGCTACAATTTGTGTATTTACTATGTGTCATGTCTCTTAGCACCACATAAGATTAAATAAAAGTATTGTGTCCATTTACAAATAAAAAAATAAAATTATAAATGTTAAAAAACAGTAAGTAAAAGATTAAAATTCTAAGTGTAAAAAGAAAGGCCATAGATGCCCCCAGGTTTCTAGGAGAATTGAACCCAGAAGTCCCAATGTGTAGACATGATCCTATTTATGTCTATTACATATTTAATCATATAGCAATTCTATAAGAGCTGAGAAAGCCAGGGCACAAAGAGGTTAAATGGCTTGTCCCGGTTCATGTGGCTAGTAAATGGAAGAGCCAGGATGTGAGCGTTTCAGCTCCAAAGCCTTTGTGTTTGACCATTACCCTAGGTTTTCCATGGTATGATCCTCAGATTACCTGCTTTATAATTTCTTGGGGTGATTGTTAGAAATGCAGATTCCTAAACCTTACTTTAGACAGATTAACTCTGAATTTCTACGGATGAATTTTTTTTTTTTTTTTCATTCATTTGACTATTCTGCATGAAAGTTTGAGAACCACTGTGCTGTACTTTTCTATAAGCATAATTTTTTTTTAATATGTTAGCCTAGAAAATAGGCCAGAATGAATAAATCACCCTTATCCTTGGAGTATATGAAATTTTGTATTGACTTTATGTTTTTGTTTTTGCTTCAAGATTGTTATGGATTTTAAGCATCCAGATGGTGTCACAGTACAAGTTATGTTGCCTCGTCGGAGTTTGCTAGTGATGACAGGAGAATCTAGATACCTTTGGACTCATGGGTATGTATATTGAAATGACCCTGATGTCAGGATGTCTTTTGCTTTGTGAGAGTTCTTGTTCTTCTCTGTCTGAGCCACTGGATCATGCCTGCACTTTGGGGCTTCTGGGTTCAATTCTACTAGGAACCTAGGGCCATCTATGGCCTTTCTTTTTACACTTAGAATTTTAATTTTTTACTCATTGTTTTTAACATTTATGATTTTTTTTTAGTTGTAAATGGACACAATACCTTTATTTTATTTATTCTTATGTGGTGCTAAGGATCGAACCCAGTGCCTCGCACATGCTAGGCAAACAATCTACCACTGAGCTACAACCCCAGCTCTATGATGTTATTTTAAACATTTTAAAATCTTTTTATTTTGGGAAAAATTAAAATTTAAAGTAGAGTTGGAAGCATAGTGAAGTGAACTCCCTTCACCTTTTACCTAGATTTATCAGTTGGGAACATTCTGCCACATCTGTTATTTCTTTCTCACATTTATTATTATTTTTTGCTGAATCATTTGAAAATTATATCATGACCCTTTATCTTTACATGCTTCATTATGTGTTTCCTGAAAACAAGGTCCATATCTATATCAGGGGTTAGCCAACTATGGCTTATGGGCCAAATTTAATTCTGTTTCTATGCAGCATTGAGCTAAGAATGAATTTTATATTTCCAAAGGGTTTTAAAATGGAAAACAATGGGGAATTTTCAACAGAATCTATATGTGGCCTTCAATGCCTGAAATGTTTATTGTCTGGCTCTTTATGGAATGAGTTTGCTTATCCATGTTTAATAAAACCATAGTGTAACACTCAAATTCAGAAAATCTAATATTGATAAAATACTTATATATAATCCATATTCAGGTTTTGCTAGTTGTAAGACAAAGTGCTTTATACCAAGCTTTCTCTCAGTTCGGGATTCAGTTCATGATTCTACATCACATTTATTTGCTAATTTTATTTAATCTTTATTTTGAAACACTTCCTCAACTTTTCTTTGTCCTTCATGATGTTTGGTTCTTTTGAAGAGGCCAATTGTGTTGTAGAATGCTCCTTGAGTTTGATTTAATCTGAATCTAAAGAAATACATTATATGCTTTTGGTAGGAATGCACTTTTAGCCTTTTGAGAAGAGAGTACTGCTACGATTTATATCTATTATCACTTAAAATGTTGCTGAGTTATGTACTTATTTTGTTCTGCTTGGAGGTTTTAGCTGACATATTTTTATAAAAATTCATGGAAGTGATCATGTAAATGAATTTGTAACCTCTCTTAAATGTGAGCCATAAAAAAGATGGCCTGATTTTGTGCACTGGTGCTTAAATTTATTTGATTTTTTTCATGGCTACTAAAATGTTCATAACTTAAAATAAATGAAAATGGTGATCTAATCCATTGGTTTTACGTATTCTTGGAATTTTGAATGTAATGACATTTTATTTTTTGGGTACAAGCATTTTTGCTGTCACTAATGTTTAAGCTTAAGAGTAATGCTTTTATAAAAAATGCAAAATAAGAAATTACTGTCCATATAGTAAGAAAATATTTCCATCTACTTTTGGTAACGATACAGATTCTTCTAAAACATCATTTTGATCATATTTATCCTGTTGTTGAAAGTATATCATGCCTTTAAATGTTAATATTTATTTCTGGAAGGTTGGATTATAAGTGATATTTATTTTTAATCTTGGCTGTAGACTCAAAAATCCTTCTTAATATTTTTTTAGGGGAAAACCCCTCAGCATTATTATTATTATTATTATTATTATTATTATTATTAACTGTGGATTGAACTCAGGGGTACTTTATCTCTGAGCTACATTCCCAGCCCTTTTTATTTTTTGAGACAGGGTCTCATTGAGTTCTTTAGGACCTTGCTAAGTTGCTGAGGCTGACCTCTAACTTGGCGATCTTCTTGCCTCAGCCTCCCAAGTTGCTGGGATTACAGTTGTGCACCACCATCCCCAGTATTATTTTTGAAGGCTGTCATTGACCTCATTGCCTGTAATGTGACTGTATAATTTTGTGTGTTTGTGTGTGTGTGTGTGGAGGGGGGGTGTTCAAAAGAGAGAGAGAGAGAGACAGAGAGAGAGAGAGAGAGAGAGAGAGAGAGAGAAATAAGAGAAGGAGGGAAGCAAAGAGATCAGGAGAGAGAAAAGAGAGAGAAGAAACAATATCCCAGCTATTTAGATGTTTATCAGAATCTTTGGTGAAAGGGAAATAGACTGAAAAAGCATATTTAATATACCTTAAAACTATATAAACATATTGATTAAAAACTTTATTTCTATTCTGAAATAAAAAAGCACTGTGGAGAGTCATAGATTTGAAAAAGCTTAATGCTGCCCTATAATATTAATTTCAAATACCTTAATCTTATTTCAATTTGATGAAACTCAAATTTATTAATTTACATGTCCTAAATCAAAGTTGGCAAACCAGTAGCATGTGAATAAACTTAACAGTCTGAAATGTTCTGTTTGACTGGTACGGGATGGTTCACATGATTTGTTCTGTTTTAATTATGTACATACAAGAATCATGAGCTTTCATATAAAATTTGAGTTTTTAGCTTCTTCTGAAAACTGAAAAGTTCTGTCAATACTGGGCCACATATTGATTGGTAGCAATAATGGAGACTGAATATCAATGTCATTTTTTAGGTGGTGGCTACTTTTCCAGTTTTCTACAGTTCTACCCTTTTCTATTACTCCTGGATCAAAAACTGAGTAACAATTTTTATTTATCACTGTGCTTGTTAATATTGTTTTTATGTTATAATAGAATTAAATAAAAATTAAATATTTCCTGAACTAATATATGTTTTTTTAATATTTATTTTTTAATTGTAGGTAGGCACAATACCTTTATTTTATTTTTATGTGGTACTGAGGATTGAACCTAGTCCCTCACACATGCTAGACAAGCGCTCTACCTCTGAACCACAACCCTAGCCATCATGTTTGTTTTAAGAAAAGTAGGAAATGGAAAACTAGACTGAATGAGAATATGTATTCCCAGAAAATGGAAGATAATACTCTGCTTTATTAAAATGAAAATTATTCCTATATGTATAAGAGCAGACAATGTGTTTCTAAATAAATCTACCTGCTTCATTTTATTTGTTACACGACTGTCCTTGGGAGGCATTAATTCATGAGATTTCATGAACTCTTCTTTTAAATTATTTGTTGAGAGCTTGGATTGTAGCTCAGTGGATGAGTGCTTATCTAGCATGTATAAGAGACCCTGTGTTCAATCCCTAGTACAGGAAGGAAAAAAAAATGTGTATTTAAATTATTTTTGGAATATTTTCTTTGTATCAATTATTGTTCTGAAAGCTTTACATCTATTAACTCATTTAATTTTTACAATCGTAGTGGGAAGTTGTTCCATAGTTTTGTCTTCATTTTTAAAGGAAATTGACACATAAAGAAGTTAAATAACTTGCACAGTCACAAAGCCAGGAAGTGGCAAGCCAAGATCAGCAGCCAATTTGGCTTTAGAATCGGTGCTCTTAATCACGGTTCTAGTTTGTTCCCTTCCTCTGAACTTATACTGTGCCTTCACACTCACACTGTCAACCCTCAGAACAGTATGTTTCATTTTCCTTTCCATTTACTCTGTTTACACTCAACTTTTGCTTCCTTTTTAATTTATAAAACTTTTCCTATATTAGCTTGAAATAATTGATTCCTTACTTTCCTGAGGACTGTGTTGTCTCCTACTACCTCTTCTATTATATTGGATTATTATTTAAAATGTTTTTATCTTTTTATTGAATATTTTCCCAATTAGATTATAATTTGAGCATGGGGAAAAATAAAAATTTTTAGTGATGTGTAAAGAAATCATTATTTTAACATGGAGGTTACCTATCTCTAAAAATCTGAGATTGGTATCAAAAGCAGTTAAAAGCTATTTGGCCTTCAGTAATTGACTTAAAAGTGCTGTAATAGAGAACTTCTTAACCCCCAAGAGAGGGATTTAGTTTGTTAACAAAAAAAAGAGTTTCAAGACACTCATCTTATAAAAAATTCTCATGTTCAACCTCATAGTTTTAATATTTTTAGCTATTAGAGTAACATATATTTAGGCAATGATTGCTTGCTTTTCCTTCTTAAAAATTGCCCTTAGCACAAGCTCTTTTAGTTTTCATTTTTTAATTCTCTTTTTTAAAAGATATTTTTATTAATGCCTTATGGTTATGCATAATAGTGGGTTCATTTTTACATGCATGGAATTTATTTGTCTCCATTTCAGTCCCCAGTACTTCCTCTTTCCCTCCTTTTCCCTTAAAAATATATTTAATATACACAATATTAACAATATAATTTGGCCAATATCACTTTCCAGCACTTCCCCCTCTCCCTCTCTTGGTCCCTTTCTTTACTGATCTCCCTTTGATTTTCACGAGACACCCCTGCCCTCCGCCACACCTTTCTTATTTCCTCTCTAGCTTTCACATTACTAGAGAAAACATACAATCTTTGACCTTCTGAGTTTGGCTTGTTTTGCTTAACTGATGGTCTCTAGCTCCATCCATTTTCCTGCAAAATGACATAATTTCATTCTTCTTTATGGCTGATTAAAACACCATACTGTGTATATACCACATTTTCTTTATCCATTCATCTGTTGATGGATGGACACCTAGGCTGGTTCATAGTTGACTGTTGTGAATTGTGCTGCTAAAACATGGATATGCATGTATCACCGTAGAAAGATGCCTTAATTCTTCAGAGTGTATACTGAGAAGTGGTCTAGCTGGGTCATTTGGTCGTTCCATGCCTAGTCTTTTGAGGAGCCTCCATACTGATTTCTACAGTGGTTGTACTAATTTACCGTCACACCAACAGTGTAAAAATATTTCTTTTCTCCATATCCTCTTCAGCATTTATTATTGTTTGTGTTCTTTTTTAAAATTTATTTTTTAATTTTAATTTGTTCTTTTAATTTTACATGACAGAATCTATTAATTAATTAATCTGTTAATTAAT